CACGCTTATTACACGGACACGCTCTTAATACGAACTTTTAAAAGCATAAATTGCTCTGTTATTTTCCCGGTCATCGGATGTACTGAAGTTGTTGAGTCTATGGTCAATAATGTTGCCTACTTTCGCAATACATGTTTGTCGTTTCTGTTTTAGCCTTCCAAACAGCCTGAAAGAGACTCTTTCGTTAGTTTTATTTTTTAACTACGTTAGGTCCCACTTGATTGAGACCTACAAACTGCTTTTGATGTATATTAAGAGTCACTGACTGGAAATAAGAAGAATCGAAAACCCTAAAACTTTGCCTAAAGAACGCTTTTAAGGTACTATTTTCGAAAATATCATCCCGATTTTCTGAGAATTCAAAGTCTTTGAGAACTTAAAAGAAAGAAAGAAAATACATCTCTCTGCCTCATTAAATATGCAAAAATATCGAAAAATTGAGAAAGATCTCGGTATTCGTACTGAAAAATATTCACAATACTAGAACACGGGATCATCTTAGCTTAAGAGCTTTACCTTTCTTCTATCCAACAAAAGGAAGTTTTGATTTTTTCAAACATCAGACCATTTTAAAGGAAGAGTGCGAACGGAAAACACTACGAAATAATGATTAAATGAATATGAAAGCAGCTTCAGTTACTTTTTCCGTGTTTTTAAGTGTTCGCCTTAAGACGGACGAGGTCAGTTTGCTACCAACTTGACCGGCCAATCTGTATCAATAAGGCATGATTTCAAGGAAAATTAAAATGACATAAAAGAATAGAAAATAATTAAAAATGAAACAATAGTTTGTGCGCGGTGGAAATTTCATGGCATTTACAAGCTTAAATTGCAGTTTAAAAAGATTCGCTGAAAAGACTTTTTAGCTTCTGTTGAGCTTGAACGAAAACTTAATTACTAGGGCGGTCAGTCAGTTTGTTTTGTTTTGTTTTGTTTTTTGTTTTTTAACTCTCGTCTGCTGCCGCTGTAACTTTCATTTAACAGTAGTGTCCTTGGTAGTTTACTATTTCATTGGTTTTTAAAATTGAAAGTTTTAATGAAGAAAATGAAGTGAATTCAACTCAGACCAAGTCAAATAAGAGATTGTTTTATGTCGTTGTTTCGTTTTTTTGTTTGTTTGGTTGTTGTTGTTGTTGGTTTTTTTTTTACATAACGCCGTTATTTTCCGTTAAACATCTGTCAGCTGTACGTAGGCTGTTTATGATCCACACCTAAGAACAAAAATGTTTTCTACGCATTTTAGCGCAGAAAATAAACATAATTTCAAACTGCCCTCATCCAAGTCTAGTCTTGCAAAAAAGCGAAGAGGGCGAGCGATAATGAAGTTTGCTGGGTTGACGGTTTTCTTTTCTTTTCTTTTTCGCCTTTACCTTTGTCCGTTAATGATCAGATTTTCATGACTATTTGAATTAAAAATAGATTGTTGTCAAGCGAAAGAAAAATTGAAACTTATGGATTTAAAAACTGATACTATCCAAATCTTTGAAAAAGTAGGATACCTGGCTATTTATTTGTTCCTAGAACTGTCTTGGATATGTTTCTATTTTGTTGCCTACCACGCGTAAAAAAAAAAATTGAAATATATATGTCCTATCTTAATGGAATTAAGCAAGGCCAACAAAATTGAAACAATAACAATTCAAGAAATTTTCAAACTTTGAAAATGCACACTTCCATTCCTTTCTATCAACTAATTGGGTGTCTGTCTTTGTATTTTGCAAATTTCTCGTTGATTTTTTATACAGAAGTGTTTTTTCTCATCCACCATATGGCTCTGTTTGCGTTGTCGGTTGGTGTTCATCTTTCAATGTCTGATTTCCTTGTCCTGCATCGACATTACCGTTGACTTTAATCTGCCTTGGCCCAAAGATTTTCCTTTCAACTTGCTCAGCTTGTGAAGTAGTTTTTCTTGCAAACAACTGAATTAAAGCTACGCGGAAACATTTTATTCTAACAGCGTAAATCAACGGATTAAACAACGAATTCAGCACTGGAAATAAACCAGAAGCAAACAAAACAGCAACCGTTACACTGGAAGGGATTCTTTCCTTGAAAGAGATCAGAATGACACCACAGATACCTGATGGAATATAACACAGTAAAATAACAAACAGTACGATAGTTGTTGTGTAAAAAGCTTTTCCTTTCTTGAGTAACCTTTCCTTGGCTTCTAAGGAAACTTGGTTAGCTGCAATTTGTTTTTCGTTGCGAAGGACCTCTTTGTATACTGAGACATTGAAGTAAACGGGGAGAATGATAAGCAGCAATTCCAAAATTACTACAATTGCTGCTTGCGTAATACAGCACGAAGATCAGGAGAAATGTTTGTGAGATTTATAGAATAAAGAGAATTAGCACAACTAGAGATTGTGGTGTTGAATGCAGTGTGATTCATATTTGCTCATTTCTGACTTGTCAAGGCCTTGTAACTTTGCGTTCTTGAAACGGCTTAATTGTTTGCGTTTCGCACTTTACCACTTAGATGGATTTAATTGATTTGAACAGGCACTGGACAAGATTCAGTGTCATTTTCCTTCATTTAGAGTGTTGCTTTAATCACCTGATCACAATTTCATGGACCTAATTTACATTTGCATCATTTCATTTCCAAAGTGCAATTAAGTATTTAGTAATTTTAATCTTCAACACATATATTGGGCAGAATTTATGATGCACTTAAATCAAGATCCTGAATGAAAAGTATTCAGTAGAGAAGACACAACAAAGTCCAAATAAAAAACATGATGAGATTGGGAACCGCTAAGTGCTCTGTCAAGGTAGTTTTAAAATATTCCTTCAATAAGACTCATGCAAAAGCGGTATTGTCGAATGCTTGGCGCGTTAAGCATTTCTCTACCCATCACAAAAGTCATTTTTTTGCGAATAGGAAACAATGTTGTTTTGTTCATTTTGTGTGCATTTAAAAACAAAAAAATCTGTGTTACCTTTGAAGTTATCCGATATACAGAAATTGATTATAATTTTGCTCTATTAATAATATTGCTTATTTTCGTTAGTCATTTAGGTTGCGATTGTTGCAGCCACTCTAACAGCGTGCAGGAAACTAGTTGTAAAATTTTCTTTTATCGAACTTATTTCTAGCGTTAGCTATTTTTCTGGCTTTAGTTTTTGAATCAAAGAGTGCGCTATTTCTTTTCTGTACCGCCTAGATCGAGGCGCAGTCTTCAAAGAGAACAAGATCAATTTCCAGTCATCTTTAGCGGCAAAGCGTGGTCCAAAAAGAATGGTGCTAGCGATCCCGATGAAATTTAAACAATGGTTTGCGCCGAACGGTAATATAAAGGTAAATAGGTTTTCAAGTTGTAGATTGAAGAGCTTAGCTCAAAACACTTTTGAGTACCCAGTGAGTTTAGACAGAATACTACAGTGCGCAATTACATCATCAGTTACACCAAAAATTTTTTCATAACTCTCGTCTGCTCTATCTGCAGTTTTCATTTAACATAATTGGTACTTCACATTTTATTTTGCTTTTCCCCAAGAAAAAAAAAACTTACATTAAGCTATATTTAACAAATAAAGAAGCCTCGACTGTGCTCTGTTCTGTTATAAAGAACGAAGGAAGCGGTAGAGCACTCAAGAAGTGTAGGGGAAACACTAGAAGTAGTCGAGTGTTTCTCCCTACTTCTTGAGCGCTCTATTGCTTCCTAAGTAACAGAGCACAATTCAAAAACAGTACAATTCTTTAAATATCTGTTTTACGATAAAGAATCCATTAATGTATCCACACGTTCAGCTAATATTTTCAAACCGAACTTTACTATCAAAACGAGGAAAAGTGGCGTCAGCGCTGGCGTGCAGCTGTTCTCATATAAAGCAGACTAAAATAAGCCAATCACAATCCTTGTTAGAAGTGTCAAATAATTTGATTGGCTAACGAGGCAACAGCTGTCAACCAGAAACTGGACTTCAGCTAAACTTTCGTTTTCGAATGGCTTTCGAGAGAAGTACGATCGCTTCAAAGTTCGCTTTTTAGTTTGATTTAAAAATAAGGATCTAAAAGTTGCTGGTCTAGAGGAATGCGGCCGCATTGAGGCTCATGAAAATATGCACTTTTCCAATGGACATTGCAAAACAATGAGCTCAAAGCTTGCGGATGAAAATGCGAAATGCTGAGCTGTATTTGAAACGAGTTACAGTTTTATTTACTGCTTGCAGTAATATTTCCCGAAGTAGCGTCAAAGTTTGAAATACTAAACTGCTCCAACTGGTTCTACTCCAAGTACAGGAGAGAATATCAGAGCAAGCTTTCAACTCAATACTCGTCGGGTGAGCGTTGTAATTGTTGATTTTCACTTCGCTGAGATGAC